TCCTTAAAAGACATTTCTTCCATTTCCCAGAATGCTTCAGCACCTTCACAAAGTACCTTGGTATGCTGCATAGAACGTAAATTCTGTATTTTACTTTGTCTCTCTTTCTCTTCATCATATCTAATCTTCAGTCCTTTGAATGTCTGAACATATTCAATCGATTCAAGTGCCTTGTAAAACTTTTCAACTATATGAGCAACAAGAGATTTAATATTGTTCACTCTTACACATTCAAATAGCTCAATAATAGCTGAACTCAAAATATTGTACCGACTCCCGTTATCCAGAAAAGCTTTTATGACTGGTTCAAAGAGATTTCCCTTGATGATGTAACAGTTATAAAATTCATCTTGAAGGCCAACGATCCTTCTCATAAAGCGAAGAGCACCCAGTTTCAGGAAAGTGTGCTTTGATTTTATTAGCATCAATACTCTTCTTAGCAAATCTTTGCTCAAAATATAATTTTGTATGTAATGTGCATGATGTTGTACACAAAATGTGAGCAGCTCTAAAATTATGGAAAGCAGTTGTGCTGTTTGATAATTATTGGGGGAATTTTTGTTAGATTCAACAATATTGTCCTTTTCACATTTGTCTTCTGCAGTGGTCTCCAAAATTGGTTCTACCAAGACACACATGCAATGTTTGTAGAAAAAATTTAAAAATTCATCTTTTTCACATTCATTAGGTGCAGCAAGCATGTTGTTTGGATCAAGTAGAGAACGAAGAACTCCCATAAATTGAATAGCGCCTCCTAGTTCCGGATCTGTATCACAGATCATCTGTTCAATTATCACATTTAGGAAAAATTTATCACTTTCACAGTGCTGGAATTCTTCCATTATATATGACCAGATTATGGATGGACTATGGTGTACTAGAAAGGCAACTATATCTATAGCAGCTGACTTTATCGGTAAATCATCTATGACCATTACAATTTTAAGAGAAGGAAAAATTCCCCAATGTGTCAATGTTTGGAATAAAACACCCTTGTGTTCAGGTTGTAGTATCTGAGAAAATTCACAGACTTCCTTTAAAAAATGTAACAATCCAAGTCGTTTATCAGTAGCTGTACTAGCAGCTATTAATTGTGTGAAAACTTCATACAAGAACCTGTAGTCTTCTTGCAGTATGCTGACTATCTCAATCTTGTTGAAGAAAAGAAAAGTATGAAGCTTAGAAAGAACATTCTCATCTACCATGGATGGTACTGGCAATAGGATGTCACGAATGTACTGAACCTTGTGGGTCTGATGTATTTTTTGCTTAAGTTCGGTGTCTGTTATTGGTATCACTTCCCTGAACTTTGCATTCTGGGTCAAGAAATTTCTGTGCCTTTCAGGCTGAGCCAAAGTAGGGTCATACTCAAGGCATCCCACCACATCCATAATACACTCATCAGAAAACATTACCTCAAACAGCGATGTCTTGTTGAGGAATAAGATTCTTGTAATAATTTCATGCAAATGATGTAAGGCTTTAATGTTCTCTAGACGCTCACAAGTATGGAATAACTGAAGTAGCTTTTTAACATATTCCTCACTTTCTAAGATCAGAGCCAGCCTATCCCTCCAGACAGGTGAGGCAAAAACCAAGTTAACTAAACCAGCAATCTGTTCAAGTGTACTCAGTTCACAGTCAGGTAGGTAAACCAGGGTACTAGTATATGGTGTTGCATTCAAAAGGTCTTGTTTCATTTCATCAGAGGGGTCTTTACCTTGAACACGGCAAATCTCCTCCCAAATTGCCTGACAGCCATCTGGATCCCAAAAACGTAGCGCCAGACTCTGGTTCTCAGCTTCAGACCAAATAATCAATGGCTTCTTTTGTTTCTGATATACTGTATGTCTATTTATCTTTAACATCAAGATCAGGGTGTGACTGACCTCGGACGTAATTAACAGCGATGTCTCATGGTGCCTCTCCAAGTAAGTGCAGGAGATAAATCCAGTACCTAGATTGTCCCATTGCTGTTCATCGTTCAGGATATAAACTTTTACACCGGGCTGCGTAAGTGCCATTACCGCTTTTCGCAACGGCTCTCTGGCTCTGACCCAACGTTCCAGAAAACAACTGTAGCTGCTATAGCAACGGCGACGACGGTGGCTGAAGTGGTTAGTCGGGAAAATCGAATCAGAAGATGGTGGGTCAGTAGTGGTTATGATGGCAGTGGCATTGGCACAGGAGAGACTTAATGTAATCAGGGTTCT